CAGGAATGTGCTGGGAGGGAGGGTTCTGGAATGCGACCCTCCTATACAACACAGCATTGAGGCCCGAACCAGGAGGCCCATGCAGAGGATGTTCTGGTGTCAAGAGGGTGAGAAGTCTGTCTCGACTGACCGAGTTTAAAACTTGCCCTAGGGAAGGCAGGGACACAGACCGCCGCGGCCCTCACAGCGGAGTGTGGGAAAGGCCCGGAGGGAAGTGGGGAACGGAAGGGAGATGGGGACTTGGTGGGGGGGCAGGGCAGCCTCGCTCTGAGGTACCCTGAGATGCAGCACATCCCCTTGAAGCCACAGACCAGGGTCTCCCCTGGAGGGAGGGGTGTCCCCAAGTGTCAGCCATCTGCGCAGGGGACAGGCAAAGGAGGTGGAGCCCAGATGGCAGGACTCCGGGGCTGGCTTTTCTGGATCAGGCCTGTGAAGAGTGTCCACGTCTTGAAGTCATTCCCAGGGGACTGCGGAGAGGCACTGGCTCCAGACGCATGAACTGTGCTTGAATTTGGACTGGGCTCTGGTTTATCTTCCATTATCCCTGTGCTTTTGTCAAGCCTTTACAGGGGTTCTGTGGATCTAAGGTGAATTCAGGAGAAGAGGAGGGTGGGAGGTGGAGGTGGCATAAGAGTGTCAGGGCAATTAGTGGGGGGCACCCGAGCGGGGGTGAATCCTGGGGACTTTGGGGCCAGCTGCTCTGCAGCGATAAGAGAAGCAAGCACCTGAGGTCAGCACTGCTGGGTGGAAGGGGACACACCCGGGGTATGGGGGGCCCTGCCCCTCTGCACCTGGAAATTCTCCCTTCACTGTCAGCTCGGAGCAGCTGGGAGATTCTGCTGCGGTTTCCTTCACAGAAGCAGCCGTGAGGGGACCCAAGGCCACCTTGGAAACCATCAGCGTTGTCCTTCGAAGCGGTCACCGGAAAAGCCTGCAGAGCTGTTTTCACAACTGTCAGATGAACACATTCCTGTACCCTCTCTGGCAACCTCAAATCGGCTTTTCAAGCCGCCAAAGAGAGCGAGTCTCGTTACTTAGCAGAACTCATCTTGTTTTTCCCCCCAAAAGCACTGCCCCTGATTTGATAATCAGCCTGATGCCAAACATTGCGCTCTCTCCTCAAAACCCAAAGCTTTGGGCCCACTGAGGCAAATCTAAAGAATGAGCCCCCAGCAATTCCCAAAGATGAACTGCTAGGGGGACACAGGGTGACAGCAGCACCACTGGAATAAGTGTGGGTTTCTGAAGGCGGGTTCTCTGATGGGGACAGTGGCAATGTGGGGAAAGGACCTGGTCTAGGAAGTCACAGTCCCAGGGCAGGTAAACCACATCCGACACACTGAAATGACCAAGCCCTGATGCAGGGCACTCACCAGAACCTTCCGCAGTGTGGACATGGCTGGGAAGGTCAGCCTCACATCAGTGACCACAATCGGCACCAATAGACCACATCTCCCCCAACTGAAGCCCATCAAAACCTAGCACTGGACAAATCGGACCCCACATCATCCCACCAATCAGCTTTGACCACAAAATTGCTGTGCAGAGAAGATACACAACACACGTGTGCTGGATGGGATGGAGTCCGGGAAAGATGAAAGGCTTATCGTGTATTGATTTCAAAGTTCAACTTTTATAACGGCATAGAGTTAACCCTCTTCCCAACATGGACAGTCAAGGGGGAGAAAGTAAAAGGAGGCCCAGCCTTTAGGTCTGACCCAAAATAGGACTGAAGGGGCCTACACAGGTCTCACTGGGGTTCAAGTCCCAGCTCTGCCATTTCCCAGCTGGGCTTACGAGTGGCTGACTATCCACTGGGAGACAGACCACCTATCTGTGGACAAAGCCCATGGCCCTCCTTGACTTCCAGGACATGGCGGGGGTGGTAGTATATGTAATCCATTCAAGACAGGCCCTGGCATGCTGTCCGGGCTCCAAATAAAATAAAGGAGGGGCTGCACTCCACTGGGGAGCTTCAAACCGGCTTTCCTGGATCTACAGCGGGTGTTGAGATCCCCCCTCCCCGCTTCTGCCTTAACCACAACAGCTCCGCTCTGGTCTCTTTTGCATCTTGGCCTTCTACCTAATAGCATACGTAGGAAAATATCTGAAAATCACTGCACCAGCTAATGCCTAGCACCTGTTCTGGCGATGAGCTTGCTGTGCATCTAGGATCCAGCTGGACCTCCCCTGACCTGGGTCTCTCTCCATCCCCAAGGCCCCCGGCCCTCCCCGCCCTGCCCCTCACGCCCACAGGCCTCCGTTCGCACCTGGTGAAGCGGACCTCGCAGATGTTGCACATGTATGGCTTCTCCCCGGTGTGGGTCCTCATGTGCCGTGGCAGCTTCCCGGCCCCCATGATGACTTTGTGGCAGATGGGGCACTGCTGAGAGGCCTTGGGTTTCAGCTTGCGTTCCTCCACCAGCGGCCAGGGCGGGAAGAGGCCCCCTAGGTGGGTGGCGCTCAGGAAGTTGAGATAGGCGCCGTAGTCATTCTCTGCCTTGATGGGGCCCAGCGGCCCCGCGGGGAGGTCCGGGAACATGGCCTTGAAGAAGTCGCTGGGGAAGGGCGGCGGCGGGGGGGCGGGCAGCTCCCCCCTCTCCTCCTCCTTGATCTTGCGGTTCTTGATGACCAGGTCTAGGGGCCCGCTGTCCATGGGCTGCTCGGGCAGCCGGGCGAGGGCACCGAAGTCCCCCGACCAGAGGTGTGGAAAGAAGTCCGGGGCGAACGGAGATAAGGAGGGTCTCCTGTCGGGGATGTTGGCTTTGGGGTACAGGTTCTCCCTCAGCAGAGATTCAATGGAGAAGTCCCGGATCACACCCAGGTGGCCAGGGCTGCCGGCCCGGAAGGAATCAGGGAAGTCCCTGGGTGCGTCTGAATAGGCCTTCTCCGAGAAGTGGTCCGTCTTGGAAGGGCTTTGGTGGCAGTTGATGTCCTGGGGGTCAGGCAAGTTGTCTTGATCAGCAAAGTCCTCCGTGTCGTCGTCGTCGTCGTCGTCGTCGTCGTCCTCCTCCTCCTCCTCATCGTCGTCATCTTCGTCATCATCGTCGTCCTCTTTGTCATCCTCCTCCTCCCCGTCCCCCCCGGGCTCCATGATCTCCAGGCACACGTTCACGATGCACTGGATCTCCAGCATCCTGGCGGCGTTGAGGATGTGCTTGACGTTGGAGGCCGTGATGGTGAGCGTGGAGGTGTAGGCGAACTCCAGGATGGCGGCCAGCGCCTCGGGCTGGACGAAGTCGATCTCGTAGACGTAGGGCTGGCTGGCTAAGGTGCCGGCTGTGAAGAGCTTCTTAAAGTACTTGCTGCAGGCGGCCAGGACGGAGCGGTGGGTGCGGTACTCCTGCTCTTGCACCACCAGGAGCACGTCGCAGAGCAGCCCGTCATGCCGCTGCTCGTTCAGGCTGCACAGGACCTCGCTGCTGTGGTTGGGGAAGGGAATGCCGATCAGCTCGTCAATGCCATTGGCCATGTTCTCAGACAGAGCCCTGTGGGGACACACACAGGGAGAGACCGGGTTAGAGGACGTGGCCCCAGGAGGGGATGCCAGCTCTGGGACCCTGGCCCAGGGAGGCCAGGCCCGTGGGCGTGCTTGCCCACCCCACCCCTGCCTTTGCTTGGGGCTCCCCTCCCTCCCCCTCTGCTAGAAACCTGGCCCCTCTTCCTCAGCTTTTCCCAATCTCACCTGGAATTCAGAGCCCCGCTCAAAAGCTGGGGCTTCTCGGTGAACCACTGGGCTCTTCCCGGGACCCCAAAGGCCCTTGGAGTTGGGCTTGTCATTGGGCAGCTGGCGTCTGCCTTTTAGCAAAGGCTGTGGAATCTTCTCGCAGCCACGATTTCACTGAATTCCACTTTGGGAATGTGCAGTTCCTGAACGCGGGGATGGACAGCCATGTGAAACTCCATTTCTCTGTATGCTACGGGAATGGTGGCCGCTACGGACTCACACAACGTCTGTGGGTCAAGCGCCAAAGGAGGAATTTTCTCTCATGACTCAGGGCTCCCTCTGGGAGAATGCTTTGGTTTATTTCACAAATCCTCTGACTCCTCTAACAGATTCAGATTTTGCTACTTTTGGCTATTGATGCGGGCTGTACTAACGGAGGGGGCTACTAACGGTAGCTGAGTTGTTCCCCAGCCCAACTTCATATGTGGCAGTCTTAACCCCCGAGTATGTCAGTGTTACTGTATTTCAAGGTAGGCTCTTTAAAAGGGGAATTAAGGTTTAAACAGGATCCTATGAGAGGGCTCTCATCCAGTACGACCGGTACCCTTACAAGAGGAGAGCAGGGCACAGACACACAGAGGGCAGACCACGTGAGGACCGAGGGTGGAAGACAGCCACCTACAAGTCGAAGAGAGAGGCCTCAGAGGAAACCGACCCTGCCGACACCCTGATCTTGGACTTCCAGCCTCTAGAACTGTGAGAAAATAAATCTCTGCTGTTTAAGCTCCAGTCTGTGGTACTTTGTTATCGCAGCCCTAGCAAACATAACAGCTTCTAGGAATCTTCAAACCGATCTCGTGGCCCATTTTCAGCAAGGGAATGGGGGCCTTATGGCAGGTGTTCTGCTTTCTGACCTATTTCTGGCTTCATCTTAGATGATGAGGTTTCCCTTCATTTGCAATTCTTGATTTTTTAGAAAATACTGACCTCCTATATGTGTATATCTGTGAGCCATTTGACCTATAAATATTTATATTCAATATTAAATTCGAGCTCATTGTTAGCTAATTTATCATGTCTGTATTCTGTTACTCTTCGGGAAACATATCCCTACGGGGAGAAGCCTCTTCTAAGACACCTCAGCATTATCTATACATAAAACACGAAGTGTGGCCGGTCATAGCCGCCAGCGGTCGGGGAGGGGGGCGCAGAGGACAGCAGGCACCCCCTCCCTTCAGGCAGCAGAATTCACAACCCAAGTCAACAGATTCAACCTGGACAACAAGCCACCTCAATTTTTATTCCAGGGCACTGACGGCCCTGCTACTCGGGGCGAAGCTTGGCTGTGGCTCATGGATAAATCCTAGCAAAGGCCTGGCCCTTCCCAGCTGCAATTACAGTGGGGAGAAAAGAAAAAGGAAAACAAAGTCTGGAAGACCCACGGCCCAGTGGCAAGAGCTTTGGGGATCCCCACATACTTATCTTCGGGATGTTTCTGCCCTGAGAAGGCAGAGGCAGTGGAAGGGGAGAAGGGAGAAGTGCCAGGCCCACAATATGTGCCCCAAGTGGCCTGGAGGCACCAGGGACCCGGTGGGGTGTCAGGGTGCTGGGTGCTCTGCCCCCCTCGTCCCTGCTCCTCTGTGGGTGGTGGAGGGCCTTAGCCTTCCCCCAGCGATCTCGCCCGGGGAAGGTATTCGACAGGTTTCCCAGAGCAAAGGCTTTGCTGCTTTCCTGCCTTCTTAAAAAGGGCCAGAGACCCCCCACAGGCCGTGCATTCATTCTCTAAATAGACTTCGGGTTTCTTCCTGTGCCCGGCCCTGCTCTGGGCTCTGGGGATGCACAGAAGGCAAACCAAGCAGGCCCTTGCTCTAACAGAGCTTACAGGGACATAACGACTGTGATAAAGATGCAGCGATATCCACCAAAGAGGAATAAGATATCACCACACACCTATCAGAATGGCCAAAGTAACAAAAAGTGACAACACATCGCTGTGTCCGCCTGGCTCTCTCTGGGTTCACTCACTCTGGGGGAAGCCAGCTGCCATGTCATCAGGACAGTTCTATGGCGAGGTCCACGTGGCAAGGGACCGAGCAGATCCAAGTCACCAGCTGTGTGAGTGAGCCACCAGGAGAGTGGGTCATTCAGTCACGGTCAGGCATTCAGAGGACAGCACCCCTGCTGACAGCCTGAGTGCAGCTTCATGAAGGACGCTGAACCAGAACCACTTAGCAAAGCTGCTTTGGGATTCCTGACTCATAGACGCTGGGAGATAGTAAACGTTTCTGCTTGTTTTAAGTTACTCAGTTTCAGAGTAATTTGTTAAACAGCAATAGATAACATAATAGATAACACAGGAGGATAACAGATAATACAACAGGCAACACAGAGGCACTATTCACTTCATAGACATTATGGGTTTGTGATAGCTATCATTTCTGGCAGACGGCGTTAAATGCTGTCTCCTGACAAAATCAGTATATTATGACACTGGTTTGATAGATGGAAGTAGATGTATCGAGGAAATGACACCTTTTTCTTTTTTTTTTTTTAATTTTCATTTTTATTATTTTTGGCTGCGTTGGGCCTTGGTTGCTGCATACGGGCGGCATGTGGGATCTTCCCAGACCGGGACTACGAACCCATGTCCTCTGCGTCGGCAGGCAGATTCTTAACCGCCGCACCACCAGGGAAGCCCGACACCTTTTTCTAATTCCCACGAAGCTACCCTAATGGTAGCAGGGTTCTGACCCTCAGAGGAACCTTCTCACCTGAAAAGACTGTTCGTGAATGAAATACCCCATCAACTATTAAAAGCCCAAATCATTAAAGCCTCAGGAAATTAGTTCTTTCACGCAAGTTTTCTTGCTTGCCAAGGGCTTATTCCTATAAAGACAAAAATGTTTTAAAATGTTTTTCAGGAAAAATTCCCGCAATTCCTTAAACTTATCCCCACCTTCTTAAATAGAGGAGCTGGAACCCATTGGATGGGGTGTAGGTGATCCGTGTCTCACCGGAGCCCTCTGAGGGATGGACAGCACCAACCCTGTGCTAAATGTCCTGCTTCCCATGCTTTTGGAGCTGGTCTGCTTGGGCCTGGGGGTCAGGAACCACAGCTGTGTGACTCCGGGAGGCCCCATCACCTCTCTGGGCTTCTCTTTCCTCATCTTGTCATTGGATGGACAGGGGAAATCTGATAACCAGCGTCATGACCATGGGGAAGCACAAAGTGGATCTGGCAGTGGGGAGGGGGCGACAGGCCTGGGTGACCCTGGACTTGAAGGCTGGCCTGTCCAGCAGCGACTTCTCACCATGGCATGGTTTGGAGTCTTTGTACCATTCCTGGAGGAACAGATGTAACCACAGAGCTCGGGGCTGTTTCTCCTGGCAGGAGGTAGCAGGGGAAGTGGGGCTGTGGTTGGCTGTTTTTATTGACTCTTTGGGAAGAAGTGCCCCCACCCTGCCTACGTGCTGGAAGCTTCCCTGGTGACCCTAAGAGCCCCATGCCCGGTGGGCCCGCGGACAGCAGTGTTCCAGAGGGGATGCCATGTCCAGCCCCCACCTTTGCACCCAGGCCCTCCATCCCCTCCCTTCCATCCCTCCCATCGCCCAAGCCAGGGCACTCTTTCTCCAAGAATAACACGCTCAGGAAAGAAAATCACACACACACACACACACACACACACACACACACACACACACACACAAAACCAAACCGCTCGACAGCTAGGAGAGGCTTGACGCAAAATATGAACCTCTGGCAAAAAAAAACGCTCAGAGAAGAAAAACACACACACACACACACACACACACACACACACACACACACACACACACACAAAACCAAACCGCTCGACAGCTAGGAGAGGCTTGACGCAAAATATGAACCTCTGGTAGGAAGGTGATAGGAAAAATGCAGAGCCAAGAAATAAAGGCAGAGGAGAAAACGGGGAGGCGGAGCCTGCAAATGGAGGAAGGAGGTAAAAGAGCCAGAATGCAGGGCGGGTGAAACCTTTTCAGGTGTGGTCCCCATTCTAGAGGACATGAGGCTCACCACAGTCTCCCCTGGGCCTGTGCCCTCTGTGGAAGGTTCTAGAGCCCAGGTATGTCCAAGTAGCCTTCTGGCAAAGGCAGCACTTCTCATCTCTGGCCTAGGTTAATTCAACTGTAACATGATAACGTCACTAGCCTCAGGTACTCTACCTGCCTCCTCCCTCTCACTATAGGGAGATGGGTCAAGCCCTTTAGCTCACCAGCTAAAGAGGAGGAGGGGGCGTTTCTATGAGAGGATCAGAGAAGAGATGGGGCTGGAGCCTTTGGAAGGAGAGAGAGGGCCCTGGACTCAGAGAATTGCATGGTAGAAACCTGGCTCTAGAAGTCCTCCGAACTAATTTCTTGAGTGTCACTTGAATTTTTGTTTTTATTTGTGTCCTGTTCTAATAACCAAATCAATCAAGCAGGCAAGCCAACATTTATAATAACAATCAATTCTAGCTACCACTTATCAAGTGCCTGTGATGTGTCGGCCATTGCATCTCTAAGCCTTCTCCAATCAACACGACCATGAAAGGTACATATTTTTATCATCACCTCCAATCTAGAGATAAAAAAAGAGTATGGAGAGGGTAAGTGACTTGCCCAATGCCACACACATGCCCGAACCAGGGTCTGAACCCTGCTGCATTTGGTGCCAAAGCTCACGTTCATTCCCCTTATAACACTGCCCCCTACAAAGTCCGACTTGTGGGTAGGGGGATTTGGACCCTAGCCCCCAAAGGTTTAGAGATTTAATCAGAGCCAGGGCTGAGGGTTGTACACCAG